GTTGAGGAATGCCTCGCCCCCCCCCCAGTTAATCCCTGACCTTCTTCCTTGCCTTCTTTATCATGTTTCTCCTTTTCCATCTTATTGAATTTTTAATTATGTACAAATTCCTTTTTATTCATATATTGTTCTTATATATTTTTTTCCTTTCTCTTTATGTGTTGTAAGCTGCCTAGAGCGTAAATAAATAAATAAATAAATAAATAAATAAATAAATAAATAAATAAATAAATAAATAAATAAATAAATAGGTCAGCTGTGTAACTGGCTTAGTCATAACTGGAGCAGGAATGGACAAAGTGGAAATTGTGGGCCATACGCTGATCACAAGGCAACTTTTGCAACCTCCATGACCAGTTCTCATAATGACCCCCTCCCTCCACCTTTCCATAATTTGTAGGCCCACTACAACCTACATATACATATGCTAAAGAACTGCTAAAATATAGGCACAGGTTGGGAGTGAAATAGACAATGTTGGATTTTGGGGTGTTAACTAGGAATTTCAATTTGCTATATCGGTTAAACTGTTTTTGAGTGCACAGCAAAACATACATTTTGTGCTGCAAAAGGTTGACATATCTTTTGAGGGGATCCCATCCTCATGTCTTTTGGTATCTGCATTTCAAAAATTGCACAACATGTGTGGAACTTGAAAAGCACATGGATGCTGCTGTTGTGTGACAATTGTTAATTCAAGCTGAGAAATGGAGCGATTCACAGAAAGAGGCAGATGCAGATTATGAACATGTAGGATGGATTTGTCTTTCCCATCCACCTGGGTCTGCTATTCTTAAAATTTTAAACACATTTTTTTATGGCCTGGTTCCATGTGAAATGATGTTGGGCAGGCAGCAAAACTGGGATCTGCCCATTATTTTTTTTTTCTGATCAACAACTATGACACAGAAATGCTTGGAAGACTGTCTCTCCACACTATGTGGTATGCTAAGGACGAAATCCTGGTGCGTACTTATTTCTGTGGAAGGCAAACTGTAACTGGCAATGCCTTTTCAGTACTAGTTAACAAGTTCCCACTTTGTTTTTTCTGAGTGTGCCAATCCGGGGGGCAGTGCATGCCTGAAAAGTGAAGGGGTGACTTCTTAAGCACCAGTGAAAAACTACTATGAATTATGCTGTTTGTTTGTCTTCCACCAGTATAACTTCACAGCAGAATTTTGCCTAAATCTAAATAGGGAAAAGATATGTTCACTTTCTTTTTGTAATGCTACTAGTTTTCCTGTGATATAGCCTTCTTCTGGGAGTAGACTGAGACTACAAATTGTTTCAACCCACAAGGAGACATTGCAAGCATGATTCCCAGAATCCCCCCGACATAAATTCTGAATTTAGGTACAGATTTCCATCATTATCATTGAATTCAATGGAATTTCAGGGCTTACCTAACCATGACTTGGTGCATTGTTACACAATGCAAAATGGCAAAAATTTTGCTACCCATGAGATAGGTGTGTGTGTTGGTCCTGGAAAGAATCTTCACATTTGTGAGAGTGATTTTTGCACATTTCTTTAAAAATGCACATTATTGGAAAGTACAAGTATTGTCTTCCTACATGAACTAGCACAAATGCTAGTATCAGATTATTTATTTGCAACTTTTGACCCCTCAGGATGTTGTTTTCTGATTGCTATGTTTGTGCTTAGGCAAAAAGATTGATCATGAGAAAGACTGCTTCAGTAAAGGAAGCCACAGCTTTTATTTAGCAAGAGCTGAACAGGGCTGTTACCAACAGACATTGGAGATTATAGATTCAAAGGATCATCATTAATCAGAAGTAACATAATCACACATAACAACAATCTGGCCCATAAAAACTATAGCTAGTTATAACTATAAGTCTCATTATAAATAACTATAACTAACTATAGTCACTATTAAGTCACTTCCAACTAATGGTCACTGTGGCATCTGCCCAGGTCATGCATATTCTGTACAGACCAATGGAAGTGCTGGAGGGGCAGAGTAATGAGATATAAGAGGAAGAGATAGAGAGTTAGAGTTGAAGAGATTGGAAGTTTTGGAGTTTGAGTGGGAGAGTGGTGGTTGAGAGTGGATGAAGGAAGATGTTTGTTAAGAGTTAACAACATTACTTAAAGTATTTACATCTGTAACAATAAACAATTTCTATTTGGTTCTTTTAAAATGACATATGGTCTGGACCTTGATTATTAATAGGTAATGTTGATGTGATGGACATGGTGGTGCTGAGGGTTAAACAGCAGAAGCCTCTGTGCTGCAAAGTTGAAAGACCAGCAGTCGTAAGATCTAATCCACGCAGGAGTGAGCTCCTGTTGCTTGTCCCAGCTCCTGCCAACCTAGCACTTTGAAAGCATGCAAATGTGAATAGGTCCCTGCTCCCTGCGAGGGGGGATAGCCATCTTTTTGGTGCATTTTATTAGGTGGTGATCCGACCATGACAAGGGTACCGACTCGAAGTCAGTCACCATCGGATCACTCTCGCTCCCATTGGTGGAAAAGACCAGGTCTAGTGTGTGGCCGCCCACGTGTGTAGGGCCGTTGACATGCTGGGACATGTTCAAGAAGGCCATGGTCTCCAAGAACTCAAGAGCTGGTCCGGAAGCCTCTGCCCCCGCATGCATGTTGAAGTCCCCTAGGACCAATAGCCTCGGGGAACCCAGCAATGCCGCGGAGACAAAGTCCACCAGCTCCGGTAGGGAAATGGCTGGGTCGCGGGGAGCTCGGTAACCCAGCAAGATCCCAATACCGTCCCTAGCCCCAAGCCACCCGTGGAGAGCCTCAAGAGAGGAGCGCCTAGCTACCTCTAGGGTAGACTTGTAAATGATGGCTACTCCCCCCCGTCCCTCTAGTCTGCCCTGGTGTTGGACAGCATAACCGGGCGGGCAAATGAGAGCTGGGGGGACCCCCCTCTCCGCCAATCCATGTTTCAGTTATGCAAGCCAGGTCTGCATCTTCCTCCAGAATAAGATCGTAAATTAGCTGGGTTTTATTAGATACAGACCTGGCATTCAACAACCCCAGGCGTAGAATAGAGGGTTGACTGGTC